AACTCTTTCACGTGAACGAAGTCGCGGATTAAAAGTTAGTTCTAAAATTAAATGAAGGAAATATTTTTTTTATAGTTTTTCACCAAACTCCTTGTATTGTGTTTGTAAATACTCGAGTCCTGCCATCTCTTTTTTTAAGATATGTACATTGAAGACGTTTAATGTCGATCAGTCGTAACCAGTTTTATAATTGGTTTGGTGTGTGCTTTATGTGCTGCTGTTACAAAAATGTGGTCTGTTTTAGACGTAATCGTCTTGTCCTGAAATAACGTTTTTATCAACTGGCGGGTGAAGTAAATTCCTTTTTTTTTGCTTGTTTTTTTTCCACTTGTTTTTTTTTTCCTTCTCCAAGCAGCAGTTCCTTCTATTTATTTATTTTTTCCTCCCTTCACTGGCTGCCGGACGAATGTAAAGATTTTTCGGTCACAAGAATTATGTCCCTTGTCTACAGCCTACGGCTCAACATTTTAAACTTTAATGAACATTTGGCAGTTCAAGTGGTTGGCTCCCAGCATTCATCGGAGGGTTGTTTCGGATGAATTTTTGGAAATTCAATTCGGGTCAAAAGGAAGCCGGCACTGAAATATTCAGAAACAGATGACGGCACCGGGTTTGAAGTCGTATCAAGTTAATCTAAAAACGTTGTTTACTTTCGGCTTAGATTTAAATTTCACCAGAACATCTACAAAAATGTTTTACTCAGACTCGGAAATCGATAATACTGAAATCTCTAAATTACACAGTTGAGCCGTTTGCATTCACCTTCAGCTTTGAAGTAAATTTCCATCAGAATTAAAGATGTTTACTTAATAAAAAAATGTTTGAAAAGTAACTGATTATGTTTATAGGTATATGTGTTACTAGATGATACGGTGATGTACCAATTTTTGAAATGAAACTTATTAAAGGCGGTCGAAATTGCGCTAGTGTATTAAGGTTGCTATGCGCGGGGTTAACAAAATATTTTTCATTATTTCTGTTAAACAACTTACATCTGCTTTTCAAAGGGAAGCAGATAAGGGAAGGACGTATTAACAATATAAACACAGCGTAGCTAATGTACAAAACATCCGGGTTGAAAACGCCTTTTTTTTTACGTGATTTTGTAAGACTTTAACAAGACTTCTGGGTCAGCTTCTGTAGCCTCTGCATTGTTTCGTTCACACTCTATAACTAATTATTTTCGTTTATATATTTTGTAAATAATTTTTCGATAAAGCTTTAAGTAAATCCCTTTCAATCCAGATTCAGTCATCTTTATCTATTATTAAAAAAATATATAATTCAGATTGTTAAAATAATTTCTCCTTTTCTTTCGAAATCAACTATTTGAACAATAGTATTACTGACTCTTTAATTAACAAAAAAATAAAATATTAATTAGAATATTTTTTTGATCATTCTAGATATCATTTTATTTGAATTTAAGTTTAGAAAACAATTCCCCTGTCAGTGTAAGTTAACCCAAAGCGGTCCAATGTTCACCACCTGAAGGTGTATGCCTAACTTGGTCCAACCTTGGACGAACTCCATTCAGCAACCCAATATTGGGCCAAAGTTCACTCAATCGTCAACTCTGATAGGCCCTGCATGGTTCGTAGAGCAAAGCTTATCTCTCTTTCATAGGAATTATCAGTATCATCGATCGAAAAATAAAAACACACTAGTGAATGCAATTTGATGGCTCGTTTAAATTCGACTTTTTATGCTAGCAAATAGGGGTGTCGAGGGGAGCGATCCGGGTTTTCGAAACTGCCCTTGCCACCACAGAAAAGCATGAACCAGGGCAGATGGAGCCAGAATCAAATCGGTGTCTGTACACTAAGCAATGGTCTAAATCAACCTGTAGGTCATGCCGCTGGGTCCTCCTCCTGTAGCGCGGTCCAATAATATAGAGATAATAAAGATACCACAATTCGTTCGACCAAAGACCAAAAGAATTCTAAAACTCTCTTATGCGGGCAAGACCTATTTAATCCCTTTGGACTTAGCGTACTTAATTCCCAGGTGCTTGATCCTCTCCCCCAACATACGTTATTCAGTTATTGCCACTACAAGCCCAACCTCAAACGGCTGGACATGCGGGGGGATTTCCTACTCCCGTGGTATCGCCACCTTCTCCTGACCCTTGATATTTATGTCGACCTTGCTACCCTGGCCACCTTTGATGAGTGTAACGGGCGAGGCTACTTTGTAATTTGAGTCACTAGCAGTCTTTTGGAAGGGAGGCTTAAGGGGGCTGCAGATTCAAGTCTCAGTTAAGGAGCACTGTGTATTAAGGGTAAATTGGATAATAAACTAGTTCATACGCAATAATGATTACGTGTATTTTTTATTAAAGCTTCAGTATAGCAACAATTTCAAAAAGCAAAAGGATTTTTGTGACATATTGTCAGTTAAATTGTTTTACCGGATTTCGTATTTTATTATTATATCCACGAAGTACTGCGGAGAAAGTAACTTTTTTTCTAGAAAGTGTCACGGTAAAAATTCTTATTACATAGATAGGTATTGTATTTTGGTACAATAAATTGCATTTATAAAATTCTCCTTTCAAATTTTTACCAAACTGAACGATCCAAATGGCAAACACTGAAAATCGAATGTAGGTCGAATTTCGTGAAGTTCGTTTATGTAAAAATCAATTTTGTCTTTCCCTTTAGTGAAAAAGGCTTCTGACACGCAAAATCATTCTAAAGGAGTAAACGGCGAATGGAAATGTATACTTAACCTGTAGATACTGCATTGCGTCATATTCATTCGTCACTTGGCAATTTGCATTCTCTTATATCGGCTACGTTAAATAATATCAAGTATGTAATAATATTATAATACGTGTAACGCACGCTAGTAAAATAGTCCAAGTAAGTATGATTGTCTGTCCGCATGTTATCCGATAGGTTGTTCTCCAGCTGTGCAATGCCTGTCTTTGCGTCTTTCCTGTTGGAATAATAAACTAGCGCAGATTGTTATTGTTTAGATATTTTACGAGCGTCTACATATGTTTTTCTTTTATGAAAATAAATCGCGCGGGAGGTCTGCTTCCTGAACGCTACCGATTTTGTAATAAGTCTGGGAGACGAGAGCGTTGTTATAAACATTAATAATTAAAATAGTTAGGTCCTGGAAGCACATGTTACTATTGACTAAGTGATTTATGTAAATCTTATGGTACTTACTTATAATCTGTATTTAAATTAAGATACAGGATGTATACGATTTTATTTACTCCATTCTTAAAATACATAAACCACATGCAGCCTTTCAGATAATTTTGTTCTGCCCGCAAAAATTACAGGAATAATTGTAAATCTTTTTTTTAAAATGTTTGCACGACCAACTGTTGTTGTACGGGTGCCTAGTCAGTGGGTGCGGCGGAAAAGAAAAGGTTAGAAGCGTTCGAAATGTAGTGTTATAGGCGGATGATGAGGATAACGTGGGTAGAAAAGGTTAGAAATGAAGAGGTATTGGAAAGAATAGGAGAACAGAGGACTCTATGGAAGTCAATAAAAAATAGGCGAGATAGATTGGTAGGACACCTTCTCAGGCATAACGGGCTAGTCAGAGACATATTAGAGGCAGAAACAGGAGTTAGGAGGGGTAGAGGTAGAACTAGATCAGATTACTGTTCGCAAATAGTCAAAGAAATGGGCTGTTCTAGTTTTAGGGAAATGCGAAGTTTAGCTCAGGATAGGAAAGAGTGGAGGTACGTGTCCAACCAGTCTTAGGACTGACGACCTTATGATGATGATGACGACCGACTGAAGAGAACTTTCATACAAACTCGATTTTTGTTTAGTGCTCATGAGTAATAGTAGAGGTATTTAAGTATTTCATGAACCTTAACCTCGGGTTGGTCAGTGACATCACCACAAAACGTAAATTCCGTAATACTGTTTAATCTAAACCTAAATGTATATATATAATGCTAATGTGCGTACGTAATATCAGAGTTGTCTCTATCACCATCAACTCCTACCAACTTCTCGTTGGGGTGGTAAATACCTCTTAGGCGGTCTCCTGCTGAAAGTAAGGGAGTTTGGTGGCGATGGGTGGAAGTGGGTGGCGAAACTGTGAAAAAATATGTATCTGTCCTTTTCTAACTGATGAGACTTTTTGGAAAGTTCCAAAAATTTCTGAAATGATCTAAAAAGTTCCAAATTTGTGTGCAACTGTTAAAATCGATACAGAATGTTCCTGGAAGTTCTAGAAATATACCCGAGAAACGCCGGGTTTCGCTGCTAGTACCATATACCTAAAATCCGTGCTATATAATATGCATTTAATGGGGTCGTGAATGTAATGTGACGGTTTGAAAATCATGCAAATAATAATATTTTAAAGTCTATTATAGCAGAAAAATAATTTGATCATTCTAGATATCATTTTATTTGAATTTAAGTTTAGAAAATAAGTCCCCGGTCAATGTAAGTTGACCCAAAGCTGGCCCAAGATTAATCAGCCGAAGGTAATATAGCCAACTTTGATCCCTGTCTGGGTAGATCAATTGTATGCCTAACTTGGTCCAACCTTGGACGAACTCCATTCAGCAACCCAATATTGGGCCAAAGTTCACTCAATCGTCAACTCTGATAGGCCCTGCANATAGTAGACAAATGACATGACAAACACTATGAGCCGTCAAATGGAAAATTAACACAGCAACGTAAATTCAACTATGTACTATTTTCATTTTTTTTAGTATCTGCTTCAAAATTAGTTATGTTTAAACATTTATTTATTGAAGCTTTTGATATTTCCTACGCTTTACACTCGCAAAGAGAAAATTAGAGCAATTTTCTTAGAAGCGTGAATAGTTTTTTCCCTATTCTATTTTTATTACACCTATTCGATGACCTTCTTATAAAAAAAATAATTAGCATATTGATTTAGTGCGGATAAGTGGTTTAATTTTTTAGGTACTTACTGATGTTTTAGCAAATAATAATTTAATAATTTAAGCATAGTGAAAATTGTTAAACCGTATTTTTCTTTTCCAGGTGAGGACCGTGTAGAAAGCCTTTGTATGAATTGTTTGTTCGTAAGTAATTTTATGATAATTTTCAATTGAAAAAAAAATAATTATTTTATAATGTTTTCGGAAATATTTGTAAATCCTACAATTCCATTGTTAAAAAGATCGAAATTCTGTTGCGTGTGGTATTTTGTTTGCGTGATGTCAGGAAGTAACTCAAGAAATTGATTGTTTACAAAACTGATATTTCTATTATACATTTTCAAAAGGTAAAAAAATGAAACGCAACTTTAGTAATAATAGAGCGTATTGTGTATAGGTCTTCCTAAAATTTCGCTGCTGTTCTAATTCGTTCTTACGATTAGTATCAGGTTAATGGAAAATGTATTTGTAGTCAAAATAAATTATAGTCTTGTTTATCATTATAAAAAAATATGCAACATTAATTTCTAAAACAGTTTATAAGTTGAAGACGTTCTGTGAAAGTTTGTAGGGCAAACAGAAATGGCGCAAAAACACGGAATAATTTTTATCGATCTTGATTAAACACATTTTTTTAGGGATTGCTCATGAATTTTAAAAATTAAAGAAATAATAAAAAAAGTTTTTGCCTTTCAATATTTCAACAATAATATGGATTGAAGGTAAAAAAATACTTAATATTGATATTTGAAGGTCGTTTAAAAACATAAATAGTGTGTTGAAATAAACATTTTCATATACTTAATCAACTCAAGAATTCTTATTTAATGCTTTAATTGCATATCGTGTAAAAAATCTGTACTAATCTACTAATACTTAGCAGGAGATAGGTTGCTTTGTGTCATCTAAGTATTTTACTAAATGGTTTATAATCTTTGTTGCTAGATTGTGGCCCTGTATACCTACACCTATTTATTTTTGCAGAATATTTTTTTATAATTTTAATCTAAGTGAAAATGTTAATAATATTCGATAGAAAATATTAATTTTATTGCAGACAGTTGCGCATTTCGCAAGTTTGATATACCTATTAGTATATATCACTATCATCACATGGTTTGACGTATTTGTTCAGTTGTTATTTAAACAATTTAGTAGGTATAATAATGGCACAGCTGTTTTTTTTACGCCTACCTAATGTGGCAGGTTTGTAATTGCAAAAAAAAATAAAATGAATTGTATCAATCTGTTTAATAACTATAGACGGTATGCTACCTACCTACCTAAATGTGTATATCGCAGTTAGTTTTGAACAAATGCAAGTCTAAGACTGTTATAATCTTTGTCTTGTTTACCGGATAGTAAGTCTTCGCATTGTTCTTGCGAGATCGATTTTTGTTTTTGCAAGTCTTGTAAGAGTTTAGATAAATTAAAATTATAAGTAAAACATGCGCTCTCTTCATTATCTTGCAAAAATGAACAGAAAATTGCTTTCTGTTTTGTTTTTAAACGACCACACTACCAACACTCAGCAAATTTTTAACGTAATAAATTCGTACTTTTAAGTCTTAGGTATTTAGTAGTTGACACGATACCGTGTGGTTATCATCGATACTTTCTTTCTATTATTAAAGTACTCGGCATCGATATTTTTTGACATGTAGAAGATATTAATAATTAGTATTAAAAAATATATAAGATATATACAATATTACAAAGTTTATATGATATTTTTAAACTTGCCGATCCCATGATAGTTACATGTGATTGTGAAATTAAAAAGCTAAGAATATGACGACAAAATTGAAAGCTCAAAACTATCAGTTATTAAAAAATGAAAGATGCGTTCATAAATATGATAAATACAGGGCCTAAGAAAAAATTTCTTTGAATTAAATAATCACTTGGTTTAATGGAATCGATACCAAAAGTACGTACTTCAGAAAGAGTATTAAGTAAGTTTACGTACTTGTATCGGTTAAAGTTTGAAGTAATAAAATTTCAGTACATATACGTATGTATTTACGTTACGTACCATGCTTTTTAACTATGTATAATTACATTTTTATGAATTGTTATTAAATTCGTGATAGCTCATGAGAATAAACTAAGGCGTTCCAGGCAATGCATTCATTCGTGAAATCGTGATGAATTGACACACGAGTTGAGTGATTAAGTGAACTGATAAGCACGTGCTAAGATATAAATTTGCTATAAACTATAGCTGATTATCAATTTTTAACAAGTGTCTTGTGTAGTTCATTGAATACCAATAAATAATCAATAAAATTGAGTGGGTATGTAGATTGAATCATATTTCTCTCATTTTAATTTTCGCAAAGGAAGTAAGTTTTCCAAATTTTCATTTAGTAGTAACAGTATTTAATGCTCTGTCCAAGAAATGTATATTTAAAAATTTTCCTCCTCAAATTAATTAAAACGTTCTCTCGAAGACCCAGTAGTAATAACGTCCTGTGTTATTGTATTGTAAAATTAGCTGCAGAATTTCCCTTGTGTAACGGTGGCGGTGGAATAAAATTTAAAATAGTTATCCTTTAAATTGCTTGTTATTCAGTTTTCACGAAAGATCATTCATCTCATCTCTACACCTATACTCAACAACCATCGCTATGGCATGATGCGGATAGCGCTAAACAGATCGTAAAAAAATCCAAACGCGGGCTATTGACTAAACAACCGAGTCGAGTCTGCTTGCTTTTTCAAACCATCTCAACATTAATAAAACGAATGTGTTCGTTATTGCTTGTTTATTCGTTATACACTATTGTTGTAGTTGTTAGAAAAGGTCAAATACTCGGACACATCAGTTCCAGAGACTAATAAACTGTAAGGAATGAATGGTTTTGTATTAAAAATTAACATAAGTGTGATATGGACTTGCGGAGCAATGAAAACGTTTTTCCCATTTTTTTCTATCGTTTAAGTTAAAAAAAATGCAATAGCAGTCAAAACTGTTCTAAACTATAAGTAGAAAATTAATAAAGTGTAAACATCCAAAAACCAAAGGATATGATATCGATAACAACGTTTTGTTATACTTCTCGCTGTTACATGCGTATTACCGCCAACACAAAATCCTTCACGGTTATATCAGACTTTGTATGGAGATATGTTAACGTTTTCCGGCATGGTCAATGTGATTTTAGTAGGAGATGGGGGCAGGCACAAGATGCCAACATCATCCGGAATATGCACAAATTTTACGGTAATATACTGGCGGAAGGATTATGTTTCTGCGACGAACAGCCTCCTAGTAACTAGGCGCAGAGAGTGAAAATCCCCTATTTTTTGATTTTCAAAAATTTTCACAAATATACACATCTCGGTATACCTATTTGAATTTTCCAAAGACAGACTCGCGAATTGAAACAAAAGAGGGGCGGACCAGACTTTGACGTTAAACTATTGCAAAATTATTAAGGTTCCCATTCCTGAGATCAAAAATGTAATTCCATTAATAAAAAAAAGTACTTGACCAATTCAATAAAGTAAATTGAGACCTACATCTCTGTAAATTTTTGAGAAATTGGGCACTTCACCCTCTGTACCTATTCCCTGTTCCTAGTAGTGGGTTGGCTGGTTGCTTAGAAATGTAATTGCCTTTCCTATTGTCCAGTGTAGTCTCACTTCGTGCTGTTCTATCTCGTACTGCGCAAATATTCTACCTATTGTATTGCCCATTTCATACTGCAGTCTATACCATAACTGTCAATACATATTCCCATTTCGTAATGCTAATAATGTACTTCAATAATTGTAAGATTTCATATTACATATTAGTAAACAACACGTAGTTAATTACATACTTTTTCTGCATTCCAGGGGAATCGTTTAAAAACTTGTTAAGCACTTGATTTTCTTTGAATAATTGTGCTATAATAACATACAATATAAGTAAATAATTATAATATTTGTTATTATTAGTGAACAACAGTGTAATTAGGTGGACTGTTTTTCTTTGGCCCTATGCTTCAGGGATTCTAAAATCGTTTAAAAACTTGTTATGCACTTGATTATTTCTTAATATATATTTGTGCTATAATAACAAAATAATAATATGTAACATAATCAGGGTGTCTTTGAGAGGTAGAATCCGCTGCAATTCCTACCTGACATCTCTTTTCTGTGTTTACTATATTCTCTACACTACGTCTGTCGTGAGTGAAAGTAGGTGTTCTGCCAGCAACAGCTCTAGTTAGTGAGTTGAAAAAAGAAAAGAAATGCGACAGTTTTATTGCGAACTATGACAATTTTGAACGTCGTAACTATACTTCTCCCTTAAGGCAAGAAGGCTTAGTATAAAAAGTAGATAGATCACAATATATGGCCATTTTGAATTCCTGTTAAAGCATATGTAATCCTAAAATGTAGCATCGTACCACAGATGGCGTTTACCGCGCCATTTGTGGTATTTTTTAAAACGCGCTGTTAAGACAGCAGGTAAAAGTTGGTTTTGTGTTCTGTCGGAACTGTCTGCGACGCGCTGATGAGATCTAAATGGATCGAAATCGCGATCCGCGTCTGGCAGTTTCGACAGAATACAGACCACTTGGAATTATTTTATTCGATTCTGAATCGTGTTTAGCATACTTACTTACGAGTCACCACTGCTTTTAAAACAGAGTGTAATAAATGCTCGTAATTATATAGCAACATCATTTTTCTGATAATCACAAAAACATGTATATATGTGTTAAAGTTTCTTTTATTTTATCATTAACAAAGAATATTATTGTTTCGGTCATTAACATACCGATCACATATAATCGTGCTTAAATACGTAAAATTGTTATGATATAATTTCAAGTTAAAAAGTAAATATACGGTTTTGATTAATTATAATCGACAAATTGTGTAAATTTCAGTGTCATTGTAAATAGTGCTTGAGAGTAACAAACTTTAAATGTAAGCAAAAACAATCTTATTCAATTTTTCCGTCAAAAATAAAAATAACGTGAGAATTACGTTGGGTTATCTGCAATTGTTTGCTTTTTAAAACACGAGGTTAATACAATCAACGAACGTAATGTGCAGAGTGATAAGTTGTTAGATTAATCAATTGGATTTTTAGTAATCTTCTACAAATTGTAGATAATAAGAGAAACATTATTTGACTTTTTATG